CAGCACTATATGAAGGCAGTTTGAAAGTTCTCTTTTCTTTTTTTTTTTAAGAGAGAAAGAAGAGACTATCCATGCTTGGGAAGGAGGTCAAGCAGCATGGAAAAATTCAGCATTAATCCACTTCTCTCTCTTGCTTCTTCCCATTTATGAAGTTATGAAGCATATTTTGTAGTTCAATTGAGACTGAATTTGGTTTTCCTTTTCCCTTTAGTAATGACCTCATCTTTGAAGATTTATCTTTGTCTCTAACCTTCCAAGATAATTGTGGTACGGTAATAATCCAAAATAACAATGGAACACTATGCTGGAACACTATGCTGGAAAAAAAGGTGTGTTAGAATATAAAGGATTCTAAGAATGCTGAGCTGTCTAAACAGAGATGTTGGTACTCATTAATTTCTGCTCTTTCTAACTCAAGTGAATTACAGCTCTATAATATAAACAGTCATTAATCAATTAGTGAGACAATGCCAGACCCGTTAGCTTGACTTTGAATTCCTCCATCCAGCCCCTCCAATGGAGTTATTTGGTGCATGGCTGGGCCATGTTGGCAGAGCAGACTGCACACAGAGCTCTGTGTCACACCAAAACTGCTCTGGCTGCTCACTGCATTTCTGCTATCTGGACCAAGTGGCACATCCTCCTTGCAATACTGGCAAGAGGGTGGCCACTTTGCATCTTCATTTCCCTGGGGCTGTGTGGTGCCGCACTACAGAACCATTGGAGCAGGGCTGTGTTTTGCACTGTGCAGTTTTTTGAGTCCAGAGTTTGTTGGGGACCATTGTGAGAGATGGGTCTGCAATCATGCCTAGACAGAGAGCTGGGAAGGGACACTTCAGAGATGGCATCCACATGAGAGCAAATTGCTGCACTGAGTTTAGAGAAGAGCGGAGGACCTGAATCTACTTCTACATAAGTTAGAGTGTTTGTCATTTCCCCCTGCTGCCAAAAGCTGGGAAAAGCTTTTCCTTCCCCTAGAGTACCCATCTGCTTCCCAGGAAGTACTATACTAAGTAACCAGGAGATTACCAACCCTGAAACTCAATTTACATAAGAAGAAGATAAAGAAGATAAACACAAAAATACTTCTCAACACAATTTTTTTTTTGTAACCTAAGACATGAAGATACCTGCATGATCAGGTGGACTTGTACTCCAAGACAGTCTTTCTTGTTCCCCCTCTTCTTTTTTTGTTAATACCATATATTGTACATATCCTTCCAACACCACTTCTGCTGCTGTGTGTTCATGCAGCAGAAATCCACTGTTATTAATCCTTGGAAAGGAGACCCCAGGTCATGTCTCCCACTTTTTCTCATCTGTTGTTCAGATAATCAGTCATTTTAAACTGCCTAGGTGTGACCAAGTAGGAGATTTGACAAATTCATTCTAGATGTATTTTTCTATTTGGTTAATGTAGCTATGTTTCATCTGTTCCTGAACAATGGCTCCTTATTTTTTACCACAATTTGCACATGGGCTGGGTGAATGAGAGAACTTTAGGTAAAAAAATTTATCTGCACTTTGGCATAAAGACTGATTTTAAAGAAGCTTTTTTTGAAACCCATGCTTATGCAACAGTACTTTTCTAGTCCACTAGAAGAGTAGGAAAGCAACCAAAGTTAATGGCTTTTTCTGATAGCACAGAGACTTCTGGGAGAAACAGTCCATCCTCCACACACACACTGACCTTCACCCTTGTGCAGTAAGTTGGTGCAAAGCCTGCACATTTAATTTCCATTTGAGCTGAAGGATTTGTGTCAGCCTGAGCAATTCTCACTGTTGTGGATTGCTACTCATGTGTGTAGAACATTGTGATCTTCCTCTTAAATTTTTATCCATACTCTTCTGTTGTAAGCAGGAAAGCTTTTGGATTTTTGATATGAGAAAATATGGTGAAATTAACATGCTGTGTTTATAGTCAGACTGGATGATCTAATGACTCTGCCAGGCTTTAAATTTTATCAGTCTGTTGAAACAATTTTGCTTGAAATCAGTGAAACTATCCATATGCTTAAATTTAAGCACCTGCATAAACATTTCCATGAGTCAGGATGCTATTCAGCACATAGTTATGAGCTAGGTGTTTTAGACATTATCAACAAAATTTGTTAACACTAACAATTATGTTGTGTTGAACAGCTGCATCTCTTTGTAGAACTATTTTGATGCTATGCAATACTGAATGTTGATGTCTTAATGTGTTTTAACTGGGTTTCTTTTTGTGTTCCCTCTTCCCCAGTTCTGTTTCTTGAGTGACACTGTACTGTAGACTGTACATGAGTTATTGAAAAGTCTTGCTTTGACTACTCCAAACACTTGTAATTCTGTGCTCTTTTTTCCTATAATGTTAGTGGGCCCTACTAAATGGTGACTTGGAGCACAAAGCTTCCTTGTAAGAGTGTCTGGTAGTGGAATAAGGGCTTAGAGAGAAATTAAGATGCTTACACTGGAGCAATTGCATGAGGAATAATAAATCTTACCAAACCTGAGCTAGCTTTGCAGGAAAGCATGGCATGACTTGTCACCCAAAGTGCATTACTTTTTAAGTCATGTGATTTTTCTTCAAGTCAGTCAGCTTTCCTGGAACCAGAAATCCATACTGTCCACACAGTAGTGACAGCTGACTGAGGTATTTATTTGACAACTCTAAAGCTCTTTAATAACGTGGTAAAATAATGTCAGGGTAGGAAGCATGTGAACCTCAACTTCCTTCTGCTATATCAAATTCTCATATTTAATTTTTAGCTTGGAGCTTTAATAATTGCAGCTCTGTTAGTACTTGTGAACACTCAAAAGTGTTTATGTAGAAAGAATCTCCTGCAGAGTAATTAGACCCTAGCAGGTGGTAAGATTTTATAAGGTGCTGGGGTGTAAATTTCATTCTAAGCCTTCTGAAATCACAGAATAAACTAGGCTGGAAAAGACCTTTGAGATCATGGAGTCCCAGCCTGTGAGCTACCATTACCTTATCAGCTAAACCATGGCACTGAGTGCCTCATCAAGTCTTTTTTTAAACACCTCCAGGGACAGTGACTCAACCACCTCCCTGGGCAGCCCATTTCAGTGTCCAGTCACTCTTTCAGTGAAGTATTTTTTCCTCACAATTCTATTTATCCCAAATAGAGGGATAAAACCCTCTATTTGCAAACTTTGAACTCATCAACATGTGAACGCTTGCAGCTTAGAAATGAATCTTTATATGTGCGTGTTTATTAAGAGTATTAATTAGGGAATTTTAAAGTATCATCTGTAGTATTTTTTCCAAAGGCAAATGTGCATCAGTATGCTTTTGATCACCTTTTCCTGTAATCTACAATGTAACTGGCTGATTTGTAATGATCTTCTCCTCATGGCTAAGGAAATGTTTCTATTTTGCTACATTCATGCAGTGCTACTAAGCTTTAAAATAATGTGCTGAGTCCTGCTGACCTGAATAAATCTGAATTATATGGTGTGTACTGTTTAGCTGTGTTACAGTCGCTGTGAAACCAACATCTCATGAAAATGATTGTATCTATTCAAAACCAGAGACTGCAATGTTTACTAAATTTTTTAATTAAACCACTATTTTTTTCTGTTTAGTTTTTGTGCAGGACAATCAGTGACTGAAATTGAAAACAAGGAATGTTACCTGCATGAGAGCATGCTATGCTAGTTACTCAAATTTCATTCTAAAGAGCTTTCTCTTGCAAAGCTTCTAGTTTTACTGCCATTTTAGTCTTCACAAGACCAGGCTTATAACCACAGAGAACTACTGTAAATTACTGAGAATCACTGTAAATGCTGAGTACTTTGAAATCACACCAAGAAAGGCCCTATCCTTTCCATGAGCCTTGCCTTCAGCTTCATTGGGATTGCTGCTTGGCACCTCCCTGGATCAGGGTTCAGCTGACTGCTGCTGTTTACAATTGTCCTGTCGAGGCTTTTCACCTACATGGGTGACATCCTGCCTTGCTATCTTCACAATAGCAGACTCTAAACATAATAGCATCCTATGGGGATACAGTAGAATAACAACACATCACACTTCCTTTTTAGTCACCAGCAACTTTTTACCATAAACCACTAATCCTGGACAACATCTCAATAACAAATTAATCATCTGAATAGCACATGCTTAGAGGCAACGTGTTAACACAAATGAGACTGATACAAAGGTTATTCTCACAGATCTTTCAAAGAACATGAAATTTGCATGATGAAAACCTGAGTCTGTTATTCTACAGCTTCTATTCTGCTGCCTGCAAATCACAACAGCGTTCCCTTTGTTAGAAGTGCAAAGGACATGTTAAGAGTTGAAGAAATCAAATGCAATCTTGTAAAACTCAATTTTTCCATCTTGGAAGTGTGTCTTGTTGATGGCAACTCAGTGAATTAATGTGGTGTGTAAACTGATTATCTTAAAATGAAGTTTTTTACACACTCAGTCATGATAGCGTGATATTGTGTATAGTACCTGAAAGAAATTTGCAGGTACTTTAATTCAGGCTAAGTTGCTACCTTCAAGTTTACGTTATAAGACTAAATTATCACAAAACTTGCATTATATACATTTTGATATATTTCTATATTCCATATTAATACCTCTTGCATAAATATATATTTAATATACTTCTCCCTCCCTCTGTGTTTCTCTAAATCTATATTTTAAGTGAATGCAGAATTGGCATCACATTTTCATTCAGGGCACAGATTTACCACAACATTTCTCTGGTACTTAATCACAATCTGTAAGATGAACATGACACCAGTCAGGAAAACATCAGTTATGTCATGGATTTATGGCAAAGGCTTCTTTTGCTTTAGAAGAGTTCTGAGGAATCCATGAGTGAATTCAGATTTCTTTATCTAAAAATCAGCCATCCTGCTATACTTTTATCTAAAAGTCAGTAGCCATTCCTTCTCCAAAGCTCATTCTTTTTTCCTGTACCAGCCTGGCCACACCTGAGAAGAAGTGGAGCATGCAGCAAGCAGAAATGCCAGAAGGAGGCACTTACCTTAATTTGACAGGTATCCAACTTGCATCACTCTCCTTTTTTCAACGAGTTCTTCTCAGGATATGGAGATGCTGAGGTTATTTGCTCCCAGCAGTGTCCTGCCCATGGCTCTTCCACTCAGCAGCCCTGGAGAGAGAAGCGGGATTGTGCTCTGCTCCCTCCCAGCAGCTTCACTGGGGCTGGGGCTCCTTTCAGCTCAATTAGTTCTAGATTGTTTGGCTAAATGGCAGCCACACTTCCTTCTATTCTTTCCCAACTTAGTTTTCCTGCCTCCAGTGGTGCTTTTTCCTTTCTTTGGGCTATAAATAGGCCTGTCACAACACAGTCTACAGCAGTAAGGAAGGCAGGAAATGCATTTAAACAAAGGAAAGATCTTAGGGGGTTTTGCCCTCCCCTGCCGATAGAAGTAAAAGAATTTGATAGGGATTGGTCTGCAGTTCTCTTTGCATGAGGAGAACACTTGCTCAAAAACATGCTAGGATGTCATCTTTTGTACTCCACAAAAAATGAGGAGGCACAGCAGCAGTAGGCCTTAGTGTCTTGAGTAATTACTACTTCTTTAAAGGATTTCATTATGGTTAAATATTTGAATTTCTTTGGGATTGGAGTGTTGGAAAAAGAATTTTTTTTTTTTTTAGCTTAGAAAAGAGGACAAAATTGGCTAACATGTTCTAAGAAGACAAAATATGTCTAACAGGATGTGCAAATCTTCCGTGGTTAAGAATGACATTTAAAGTCTATGAATCTTCATTTTGTCTGAGTACTCTCTTCCTCAAGGGAACTTATCCAGTAGACTAGAAGCGTTTAAGCAAACTAGATGTGTTTACATGCAGGGAAACAGAATTGCTATGCATGTATTTAATGAAGATGGCTGTGCAGCTATAGCTCTCAGATGGCAACTATGCTGAAATCCTCAAATATGTTCCATTAATTAATTTGATATGCCTTTTAAAAAACTCAGAATTTCCAATTTAATTATTTTCAGCTTAGTGGTCTTAAAGATACATACCAAGCTTCCAAGACTCTCTCAAGCCTGAAAAAAATAATTTAATGATTTTCAGATTATACTCAGTTAAGATGGAATATAGTGTGGTATTTCTTTATCTCTTTGCCCTATCCCAACATTTTCTGTTGTCAAGGGTACATGCCTTTCCTTCACTTTATATAAATAAAGTAAATTGCTGTAAAAAAACCTTTCTGCTGCTTTTTACATCCGTAGTTTTTATGTTAGAATAGCTGTGTGTTTACTGAAGACCCTAATGAATGGTTTGGGATTGGTGATTATTTTAGTGGGAAGGTAGAGACTTGAAAGACAGCTGGTGCTATGTGGATGAAAAATATTTCTTCTGTTTAAGATTATGCAGATGAGGGGTCAGGCTGGAAGTGGTGAGAGTTAAGGACCTGTGGCACTTAAGGAATTTGGAGAATGTTAAACCTTTTGTTTCAGATATTATGTAGGCAAGGATTGTGATTGTTAGCCAGTATGCTGTTTGTATACAAACTAGTAAATCTGTGTTATCCTTAGGTAGACTACACGATGCCAGAGCAATTTATATAAAAATCATCTTCAGGAAAGTTCCTGCCTTGTTCAGAACTTTGCAAAGATCCTGTCTGCCATGATAAGAATGTGATTGTTTATGAAAAAGAAGAGACATACTAGTCGTGTGTGAATAAACATTGTTGTTGGTTTTTTGAGACTTAATAGTGACCCAGGACCAAGGTTTTCCTTGAAAGCACCTTTTAAAATAAAGTTAAACAAAAATGGAATCTTTCAAGCAAAACTCCTTTCAAAATCAATAATTTAATTTATAGAAGGACCTGAAATTTATAATACTTACAGTACTTCTTTCTTGTGTTAATAATCATATTTAGGATAAAGCTTTTGGAGGATGTTGATCTTTGCAGATCATGCTCAACAAATCTGACTAAGAGAAGTATAATTCTTTGTAGTGAACAGTGGATCAAATACTAACTTCAGCTGAAACACAGAACTAGATTTTGCTTAAAAGATTCTGTCATGGAGAGTACTGAAGGCAGGCTGCAGTCTTTCTGGCTCTTTTGGACCCCAGACCAAGGCTGAAGGACTGGCAATGTGTAAAAGATGGAGCAGCTGTGGAATAGGCTCTGTTTCTGAAATGCAAATCTGCTTAGCACTAATAAACTTGCACATACCTTTATTCAGATGTAGTTTAGTTGAAATCTTAAATCCTCTCAATGAGTTACCAGTGGTTACAGAGTTGAATTTGCACCACACGTGCTCTGTGTGCTGTTAGCACCAAGCAGTGCCAGAGCCCTGGAGAGGCTTAGCCTGGAATAGCTGCTTGCCTTGTGTCAGCACCGTGCCAGCAGAGCCCAATTACACAAGATTGCTTGCACCGATTTTGTTGGTAGCCTTTCTTTCAAAACCACACACATATTTTCTCAGTATCATTCAAAACATCTCCAAACATTAAAAATAGATTACAAAGTTAAAGCAGAATTACTCTCCTCAGTCGTTCTGACTTTGCATGCTGGAAGAAATTCTCGCTCAGTGTGCAAATTTTCTCACTGCCACTGCACCATTTCAGTCTTGAGGAGAGTCTGTTTTAAAAGAGTTTTCACTGCAGACTTTCCCCTGGGAATTGATCAGGTAGCTGGTGGAGCAGGGTGAGAAGTGACCCTGGAACAGGGTGAGAAATTGCTGCTAAGGGCAGATGCTTGTAAAGTGCAGTGAATTTTTCCTGTGTCAAAGCTGCAGAGATGTATTTTCTCTGTCTCATTTTTACTCATCCTTATACATTAGCCTCTAGGACAAACAATGATTACATGAGCAGATACAGGGAAACACTCTGGTGTCCAGAAGTTTTGGGATGTGCTTGGTCCCCTGGAATTCAAAGCAGTTCATTTACATTCTGTGCCCTGAAAATACATGTGTGCATGTGTTGCAGACATAAACAAGCCCTTTCTTTTCAGTGACTTCCTGAGTGCAGATGCAGCTTCTTCAAAGTAAGGACAATCATAAATTCCTCACCACAGGATACTTAAGACTGAGTTATCACATGACAAAAGCACTGCTTTTTGCTGGACATCCCAGAAGGGCTTTGCACAAATAATATTGATTTCTACCACAGAGCACCAAACATGAATTTTTCACTATTCACTACCACTATTCACTAAACATTAATTTAGATGTATTGATATGATCTCCCCTCACCACTTCTCCATCCCCTTCCCCCTGTGCTGATTGCTGCGCTAGCTTTAACTCTGCATCTGGCCTTTAACAATTGGAATGCTAACAATGGTATCCAAATTCCTGTGAAAGTTGAATATGGAAGATTTCAATATAGCTTCCAAAATAAAAAGCTGAACTACCTGAACCTTCTCCTCTGCTTTTATGCTGCCCCTCCCTTGGGCTGCTGAGCAGCATTGTGTAATGCCACTCTTTCCACTGACATCAGTGGGAATGGGTTTGACATCAATTCAGCATGAGCAGGGAAGCACACTTTAGTGCCTGTAATTCATTAAGTAGCTTGAATTCCTTATTCTGTTATTCCTGTCCTTCTTACCTCCTCAGTCGTCTCCTTCTTGTCTTCACATTCCATTGCCTCATGGAATACGTTGCACAAAATTACATAACTTTTCCTGGTAAACTATACAGAAGAAGAAACAAAGAACTAGTTTTTATCTTCTATAGCTCTTGTTTAGTCTACCTGACTTAACACCATGAAAATCACTTGTCTCAGTAATACTGAGTACATTGTAAAGACTTTCCTTTTGATTTCTGATTCTGTTAAACACAGATGGTCTTTCTGGACCACAGCACAGGCTGTAGGCCAGATCCCCAGCTTCTACAAATTGGGGCTGCTTCATAAGCTTTAGTGGAGTGACACTGATTTGAGCTGCCTGAGGAATCTTGCCAATTAGTTTTAATGTATCTGTGCCAATTCACAGCAGCTGAGGAGCTGTGGGTTTGAGGGCCTTTCTAATTGTAGCTTATGTTCACTGTATAGGAGATTTATTGGCTTTCTTCCCTCTGCCACTCAAGCAAATCGCCAAAACATAGACACATCCCAAAAGGTCTGCTGCTTACAGCCATGGGGCAAGGTGAAGAAATGTTCATGGTGATCTTAAAAAAAAGGAAGGGAAAACCACAGGTCAGACCGAGGCTGATTGTGTCCCTGTGTGTTTGTGGCCTCCTGAGTTTAGCACAGCTGGGGGCTGCAATCCCTTATGCCATAACCTTTCTCTCTGTGCTTTTGGTTGGTTGTGTCATGAAGGGTGACCACAAATAGAAGGCTAATTTATTATTCACCTGCTTGCTTAGCAAAACAGAATGCGTATTTTTTCATTCCATATGTTAAAGAACATGCCTTAAACCTGATGGCAGCATAATAGTGAAGATTAAAGTTAAAACTTCACTTACAGAATGTTGACATTCTTAAGGCACAAACCTTCTGTACACCCCCACCACCTTTCTCTGTGATTGATTTCTCTACAATCAGGAGTTTAAAGTTTTTAGGGGTGTGGTGACAGCAGGAAACACTATCTCCATGGTATTGATGGAGAAACAGAGTAATTTGCCAAAGGTCTCACAGGAAGTAATACTTTTATTTGGAAAGCTGTTTGTTGTTCCTGCTTTTAATTTTTTTTTTCCCAATTGTATTTTGTGTTTCTCCTGTTCCGTTTTCAGTCACATCTTTATATTCAAGGTTCTTTGTGTGCTACTTCTGTCCTGCTCAGGGTATGTTTAGTTTGTTTTGCTTCCAGACAGCTCACAATTTCATGTTGTTTCCACTTGTAAAATGTTCATGCAAGCACCCATGTTCTTTCTTTCCCCCTTCTGGAAAGCTGCTACAAACAAGTGCCACATTACAACACTGTTTGGCAAAACTCTCCTTGGTGCCACGATCCTCCAAAAATGTCAACACTGTTGCTGGAGGGCAGCAGGTGGTGTTTTGTTCCAGGAATGTAAAAGGGGCTACGTAAAATTTCAACAAGTTCTTGGACTGTCAGAAATTCTCTCAAACAGGTTCTTCTGGTAATGCCCATCTTTGTGGGTGGTGTCTCTGCTCTCCTGACTGCTCAGGATGCCATGCCAGAAATCCCCATTCCTGATGACATCTCGTGTTTGTACAGGGTGGGCAGCTGCTCTCACTGTTACTAGTGTTATCTCATTTATTTGCATACTTTTTCCACCTCTATCCATCTCATTTTCCCATTTGATACCTCTGTTGAGACAAACTTTTTTTTACAGCACTTGGCTCAGCAAGGTGTCTGTTTTTGACTCCCAAACACTATGACTCAAAGGTATTAGTAATGGGTAGATGACCTCAGGCAATGCAGTCCTGCACTTTCAACTTTAGATCTTTTCTACTCTTGCATTTATTATAATGTGTGTCTTTTAGAACTGATGTTTCCAAGGGAAAAAAAAGTGAGAAAGCACAGAGTAGTGACAATTTTTTTCCTCCTTTATATATAATATATTAAAGAAAGAGTGATAATATGTTTTACAGCTAATGCATCCATGGCAAAAATACTTCCTACAGGAATCAGTTGACTTTTTCATGGTTGCTAAAAGCTGTGTGTACATCATTTTACTTATCCTCAGAGTCAGATATAGACTAGAGAAGAAAATAATTTTAAATTGCTAAAATATTTCTGCTTTTTGTTTGGGATATGGAATTAGGTTCTTATTTACACTAGTTTCACTTAGTTATAGTTCATTGACCAAGATGAATTATTTCCCCATATGTCTGTATGAATTTATTCTCCTGGTTTCCTTTGCCACTATGCCAAGAGGTGAAACCAACTGCTGACCAAACATTTTGGATTTCAAAGGGTTGATTTCCTGCATCTGCCAGAACAGGGAGACAGGTTAGGTTAAGTTGTGCTAAATGTCTTTGCCTGAGTTTAAGGAAAGATTGCAGACCAAGTTTCTTTGCTGCCATTTGAGGTAGGGCAGCCTGTTCTAAATGGCTTTTTGGGTATTGCTATGCAGTTCTTTGTTGGAGCCTGAGTCATGCTTACAAAACTTGTGCTCTTCTGCTAGAGTGGTGGGTTGAACACCAGAAATGCTACCAGAACATGTGCGAGGAGGGGAAGTGACTAATTTGATTGCCACAAGGTGACATTTCTTCAGCGCCAAATCTCTCTCCCTTGCACCTGTCTTGAGAGCAGATGACTGCTGCAGTCTCCTCTTCTAAAGGGAAGAGGAAGAACTGCTCCACCACCATTCCCATCAGGTGCTGTGGTGGCTGTCACCTCCTGGCTGGTCGTGCTGGAGGGTGAGCCCCTCCAGGACAGGGCTAATGGCAGAGAGAGCCCCAGATCACGAGGTTTATTCAGTGACATCAAGGATCACAGTGGATATCTGTTTCCTTATGTTGGGAAGAGTGTCTGTTCCTTTTTTTTATTCAGGACTTGTTCCAGAGCAGTTAATGCTTTCCCTGTTTCCTTGTCCTGCATGTATGAGCTAGATTTACATGAGCCAGACCAGCTGTTCTCAGCCTGGGCTAGGAATTTTGTTACGCAGGGAGATCAAGCAGTTTATTTTTCATGCATCAGGAAGAGCCCTCGGAGTGTTAGTGAGCTGGACTTGTTAGGTGACAGCTTCTACCTTAGGCTAATGGCTGTTTCAAAAATAGCCATTGTTATACTTAATTGCTCCGCGGGAAACTTGCAGCTTCCAGCGTGCTTTTATGCCGATTTTGGGTTCAAGCTTTCCCGTTCCAGCTATGTTCTTCTTTTTGCGGGGCTTCCCGTTGCTCCCGTTGCAGAAACAAAAATTCTGTCTTGGAGGGGTTTCATAAAACCAGTTTGCCTCTGGGAGCTAGGGCTTTTCTTAACATTCCTGAAAGGATTGCAGCGCGGCACGGCAGGGGCTGCGCTGACCTCTAGTGACAGGCCAGGACAGAAAGGGTCTTTGCTGTTCGCGTCCGCCAAGAGCAGCTTCCCTCGGAGCATCCCCCTTCCCTGCAGCGTTCAGCCCAAACTAATCCTAAGGGCTCCATCTCTCCCACAGTATCTCCAAGCCTTTATAATATTTGATTAAATTTCTGTCCAGTTGTTGAAGAGCTAGTGTCGGACTCAGATCTTCTTCTGGCTGTGCAATGGCAGAATTATATTAATTTTTATTAGTACTTACTAATTATAAAATGAACAGATTTTGCAAGTTGATGATGCTTCATTCCATTTATAATCCTACAATAAAATTGTTTATATGAAGATAACTAACCCTTGAAACTCAGATTTTAAAAAGCTTGTTTTGACTCTTACAATTTGCCTTTTACCTACATTTCAGTCCATACGTCTTGTTGCCACAGGGGAGTTGGAAGGGTTCAGTGAGATACTACTTGTTATGAAACACAGAGAAAAAGGTTATAATTAGCAAATGTCTCTAGGGTTGCTAGATCTCTTTCAAAAGGTTTTAGACATTTCATGCCTCACAGTTTTAAATGGTTTTAATTTTTAAAATTTTGAAGTGTTAGAAAATTGCCTATAAAGTGGGAGCAGAGTTATTCCCTGTGTGAGTCACTGAAGTCAGATGAGTGCACCAAAAATCGAGTTGCACCAAAATTAGGTAAGACACTATTCATATTAACAGATACTGTCAACTGTACTTGTACAGAAGAAATGAAGACATGACAGTGGAAATCACAGGAAACTAAACCAGAAACATTAGAAGCACAAGGGAATCAAAATGTGAGAGAGACACTGCAGGGACCTTTTTTTTGGCCTGCCCTGGAGACCGGTAGATCATGTGCAAGAGGCTTTTGTTTGAGGTCCTTGCCCTTGAGTCCTGGATGCTCCTGGGTCCCTAGGATCTGCTTTGAGTTAGGTGTTTAGACAGGGAAAATACCCCTAGTGTTAGATTCCCCTAGACTATTGTCCTTGGGGTACACATTTGCAAGTGTTTTGTCAGGTCTCATATATAGTAGATGTAATGTGTTTAGCAAACCCTCAAACATAAACTGAATTTTACTGGATGAGGTAAGGGCCATTTTGGCTAAAAATAGTTATTGCTGCCTTCTGGTGGAATAACCCAATACCAGAACTATTACCAGATGCAAAATTAAAATATATGTCTGAATGCAGTATGCACTCAGTAGTGAAATCCTCAAAAGCTCCCTATCATCTGCTTTGGTTTATCTCCAGTGTGCTACAATGAACCAACATCATAAGCACTAATACAGTTAATGTAGTTCCTTTTTTCCTTAGCAGCCTAAGGGAATTCAAAAATAATAATTCTCCTTTTTTAAAAAAGAAAAAGTATAATCATGAGCAAATGTGAATGAAAATTCCATGTTCATTCAGCTCACTGTTGTGCACAGCAAAGGATTTCCCTTTCCTGTCTTATTTTTGAAACTTCCTTATTCTATGTTTGCTGTTCAGCTCAGTTTGGTGATGCTGCATGCCAAAGAACACATTCATTGCTAAAGGCATGTTTGAAATTTCTTGCTTATGGTAAAAGGAAGACAAAGATGCCACATCTCTCTGGGTAGTTTTGCTACTTGGTGGTGGTGGCTTCTATTCCAGTGAGGAGAGGGATCACTGGGAGGGAAATGATCGGTTTACCTTGGCAGAAGGGCTTCCCAAGTACCGGAGGGCAGCTATCGATTTCACCACATGCCAAGTCTTTATTTAGAGACTGAAAACTACTTTTGTGGCCTCCAATGCCAACGAACAGGAAGGATGGGATACATGAGATGCTGAGGCTTTGGATCACGAGCAAATGACAGGATGTGCTGGAAGCAAAATAGCAAAAGCAGGACTTCAGTGAAGACAGCTCCTGGAAGAGGGTATCAAATTGAACAGAAAATGGG